TGTAACGAATGTTTAAGCACACATATTTGATCGGTGAATTGAGTTAAAGTCTAGATGATCGAGCCCTGAAGATGCTCGTTGACAATCAATGGGTCAGGCAGAGCTGATGTTAAGCCGGGCTCGCTTTGCATCGGCCAAGATTTCTTTTTTAGTCCTTTTTTTGCCAGATGTCGAAGCAACACTATCGTAATAATTGTTACTTGTGCCTAATTTAGCTCCTTGATTCTGGACTGGATCGGCATCGGCTCCTTCAAGTGTACAGCTGGAACTGGCTAAGACTTGTGCCTCAACACTGCACTCAGACTGAGGTTGAGACAAATCTTCACCAACCGTGATTCTAGTTTCACGCAAAGAGATGAGTAAATCGCGTGTGAAAGCTAATAGATCAAAAGACGTACAGTCCAGGACGCCTTGGTTTTGTGTCGCTCACTTGAGTGTTAATGAGGGCCTGACTGTTAATAGGTTGATGTCCAACAGTTACCGATACAGATATCGCCTAAGTATGAATTGAGGAGGAACATATTCAGTCAAGTCTGGTTCATGAAGGGTTTGTTTAGGGAATTACTAACGGTCACAATCCACATGAACTGATGATGTTCATATCCAGTAATGTGCCCAGAAATTAAAATTTCCCGCCCCAGTTGAAACAAGCCGAAAGTGTTGGCTAAGTTTTTCCTCCCACCGATGATGTACTGAGTCTTGAATTGAACCTGAGCCTTAACCTGAGAATAATTCCTGTCAGACGTGATACGCAATGAAAGAACAAAGTGGGAAACTGACCACAGGGTCATAATCGGTATGTTGAAGAATAACCACCAGATTTTTGGATGAAGTAGATGATTCTGGATCAGTTACTTCTTTTTTCGATACGACAATTCCTAGGCCAACGACAGAGGTTCTGTCAGCCATGGAAGTGGGGATGTTAGCGGTCAGACCTAATTCAATGACAGTATCAGTGTCGAAGTGAAGAACAGGGGTTGATTTTGAGTTAGGCGCGATGAGTTTTCCGGAAATGGAATACAGATGACTATCAACTAATCCAGTTGCGGCAGATCCGTAACCGCATAATTTAATCAGAAGATTCTTCTCTTCCTTAGTACAGGAGTCAAGGAAGGGGACTGATGTCGAATAATACATTTGTCCATAGGTTGATCCTGCAGCAATTAATTGTTCAAGCTGGTCAAGTGCCGAAAAGGTAAGTGTCAAAAAATGGACATTGACACAAGGAAGAATCACATTACATGTTCAAAAATATCAGCGATCGTCCTAGTTAACATAGGATGACTGAATTTTTTGAGGGTAGACATTCTGATGCACGGATATATAAAGAGAACGAAGTTGAGGTTAAGTCACGGGAGATAAAATGGTGTCGAGGCAAAGGGAGAGGTTGTGTCAACTTTTGCACTTGAGGTTGAGGTTGAGGCTAAGGATAGGTGGTTATTGAAAACTGGATGTGTCAGCAGCGGGATAAAATTCAGGAACAGATGAGTTGAAAGAGAACTGAGAGGGGAGGAATTATTTTTTGGCTTGAGTTGAGATTTAGATCAGGCCTTTTATAGACCAGCTGATCAACAGGCCAGAGGCAAGGTATAACTATCTTGGAGTCTTGGCGAGATCAAAAATGGAATTTAGTTCAAGCTAATATTAGATTAGGCGTGAGGAGATAGACCAGTACAGATGACGAACCGGGTAATCTTTGGTTGATTGTTGATTAGTCTGAGGCGAGGGAATGTGCCGGAATAGGTTGAGTATAGAAAAGGCTGCATTCGACAATTGCACTGAAGCTCAGCGCGAAGCTCAATGCACCGGGTAAATCTTAGGGATGAGTCTTGAATAAGTTATGTCAATTTAGAAACAGTCAAGAGTATAGAAATTCAGGAATAATTAACAAGTGCGGCTGAATTAATGTTTGGAGTCAGCCCATATATTTACGAATTGCGGAGGCTTTCGAATCCAAAAGAGGAAGTTACCCTATTTTTTGGTAGAGGATGCAAAAAGATCAACTGAAATTGTAATCTATTTATCACAGATTCTGTAATCTATTTATCACAGATTCTGATCGAACCATACAGAGTCTTGTGTTTGTATTTACAAGCTGACTTTTTTGCAAAGTACAGGGCGATGTGGAAAAAAGGAAATAAACACACAGATTCTGATCGAACCATACAGAGTCTTGTGTTTGTATTTACAAGCTGACTTTTTTGCAAAGTACAGGGCGATGTAGAAAAAATGAAATAAACAAAACAGCGTAGAGGTTTTATTTACGTTGAACAACAGAGAGGAACAGAGACATCCATCAAAGTATGACAGAGATAGAGCATAATTTAACAATGACGGGCCTTAATGAGTTCACAACATGTTGAGACAAAGTTAAGAGATGTAAACCGTGGAGACCTAAATTTAGCCGGAAGAGATTCAGAGCAGTTAGAACACCGGCCTAGAAAGTTAAAAAGTCGGTATAAGTAAAGGCATACTTCAAGATCTACAATACCGGTCAAATGTTTAGTGAGATATGCTGAGACGTAGACTATTTGGCCTGGATTTAGTTCACCGAGCGAGTTTTGAATAGCTGAGGATTTCGAGCTGAACCGGAATAGAACAGACTGAAACACATTAGTTAGAAGAGGAATTCGTTGGAAAAGAAAAGATTTAACTAACGTCGGAAACATCGGGGTCTAAAGCGAGACAGTTGACGCCTTGGTCAAGCACTTTAAGGTAGCCTCTGACGATAGGGTATGGTATACGTCGATGTCGATGTGGAATCTCGTTATGGTACGATGAGGAGTTGCACAAAATGGCTATGTTTGGCTCAGAATAGCGAGCGATGCAGCGGCCCTGAAACGTTAACCAAGACGCAGCATTATCGGAGTCACCGCGAGGAGCAGAAGTATAGACATCAAAGAGATGTCCTAATATAGGGACCATTGTGGCGTCGGTACAAGCCCAGGGAGTTGAGTCTTGAATGCGATAGTGTTGTCGATCGACAAATGGAGGTTCTTCAGGAACATAAATGCAACTCTCAATTTCAATCATGTTGAGGAAAGGTCGAGTAACAGTGCTATTGTAGGCAACTAAACAAGCTGTTGAAGAGGAGATGAGTGGGAGCAAAACTGAGGGGCGAGTGCATCACTATTTATGTCGATGCTTTGCAATTGGAAAAGGGCAATCATGTAGGATGTAGTTGATCGCGCTGCTTATGATGAAAGCGGCGAACCACGGTCCTTGTTCTCGCCAAACGCTAGTAAAGAGGTTAAGTGACAAGGAGTAAATGTCGAAATAGGAAAGAAGAGACGGGCTAATAAGCAAAGCTGAGAGCTCTAGATACAATATGTGTAGTAAAATAAATGAAAAGTTATTCGAGACACAGGCAAAGTATGTAATTGGTTTGCACAAAGAGTGAGACCGAGTTTAGAAATTTCAGATGAATATAGGTGGAGTATCGGCAGAGTTGAAAAAGACAGTAGTAGCCTAAATACATCAATAGCGTTGATTAATTATCTGAACGAATTTTGAAGAAAGAGGAAAAATTATGTTGAGAAATGACTAACTGCAACGTAAACAAGATCTTGTTCATGTTTGAAAATATGTCCCATGATCCATATCTTTTGGCCGACTTCGATATTAGTTGGAGGGATGTTGGGAGTCCCCTCCGGAAAAATGAGGACAGCGGAGAAATTCTACAAGAATGTTAGTTAGGGCGTTCCCAAGATTGAGAGTACTTGACGTACCGCTGAACGATTAGCACAACAAACTATTAACTCAGGATTGGTTTTGTCAATCACAACCCAGCCGTGAATGGAAGGATTTGAATTGATGATGAGATTGAAGTCGGTAGGAAGAGACATGCTGTTGATAATAGAAGAAGATTGACTGAGTTTAGGGAATGGATTTGCGTTGCGATGAGGAAATGGGATGAGATATTATAATTGACTGTAACTATAGAGGGTGCTGATGTCAAATGGTCAGGAAAGATTGTATAGGTATTTAATTGAGGTGAGAGGTAGATGCGGTTAGTGAAGAGGTTGAATTAGGCATTATTGTTAGTGCTGTTCCGGATTACGGAATTGTGGTTAAAGGTGCTAGAATGACACAATAGAAAAGGGTAAGAGTAGGCTTAAAAAATCAAGGAATACTATAAGCGGAAGAAAAGTAGAATTTGTGAAAGAGCATTTCCTGGCCAGGAAAGTCTAACTTTGTGAGTCGGATTAAGGAATAAGAAAGAAAAAATATATAAATGGAGAAAAGTATAATTTTCGCAACTGGGTTTCGCACCAAAGAAAGACATGTTCGAGGACATGGACAGAGGCTATTTCAAGGAGTCCGGTTAAGGAAAAGAGATAATATAAGCGGATGAAAAGTATAGGTTTCGAGTAAGGATGAGGGTTTCATTGCCAGGAAAGGGGGTTTGTTGAGGCCGGTTAAGGAATAATAAATAAAAATTATATAAAACGAGGAAAGGTATAATTTTGATAGTTCAGGATGACAACAAAAGCTAGTTCAAGTGAATCCAATTAAGGAAAAGAAACAATCTAAACGGATGAAAAGTATAGTTTCGGAGGAGGATTTCGGACCAGGAAAAGTCGTGGTCGAGGGTATAAAGAGAGCTCATGTCAAGGGCTGTAAACAGCAGAGGCTCCTAGATTTCAGATCTGCTAAGGTACCTCTCACAGACCGAAACTCTTGCCAAATTTTCCAATTTTAAGTGGATTATTTGGTTTGGATATTTCACAGCTTTATGTACCCTTGCAACTGTTAAGGTTGAATGTTTTTCTTAATCCTATTGAGTTGGAAGCCACCTCAGAAAATTATAAAAGCCATGGCTGGGTTCGGTGGATCCACATCGAAGAGCTCTGAATCGATTTCTGAGTTCCGTCAGAAGCCTCCAAGCTAAAGCTTAAACCATTTCAATGGACTCTGATCGATGCAGATTGCACCAAAATAATAAAATCAATTGCTACACTGTATGTACATATATGAACGGTATCAAAAAATCGTTGGGGTACACATTCACTGAACAGGGAAGATTTTTGTTCCTCGACTCTTCAAGAAGAGCTGAAGAAGAATGGCCCTCACTGAAGAGGCTTTTAGTAGCAACATTGTGGGCCGCTCTCCGGATTCCAAGACTGCTACGATTCGAAAAGCTTTCAGCCGGCCAGCGATGATGATGACTGACAGCCTCTGTTCGTCTTCGACCTACTCGATCGAATCTGCCGGGGATCCGAACCGGCCAGATTGCCAGACCCAGCCCGAGCTACAGTCCAGCCGACAACGCTCAGTGACGATGGACAGTACCACCGGCTCCAGTGTCGAGACCGTCACCGGGCTCAGACTGATGGTCTTGGATGAGCACCATCACCTTGTTACTCAGCCGGAAGAATCTGCTTCATCCTCCACCAGGGCCAGAAACGCCGCCAGTGGCTGCCATACCCTCGGCACCAGCCAGCAGCACTCTGCACCAGCCTCGACGCGTGCCTCCCCCCTCCCGCATCTCCCAGTCAAGATCGGCCAGGAGGCGAACCGGGTGCCGGCTTCACCAAGCTCGTGCTACTCGACAGACAGCTCGATGCTCAGCGAGAGCCGAGGCGGTCATCCCCGTCGGAAAGCAGTTCCGGCCAGCCGGATCGAGAGGCCGATGTCGATTTCCCGGACCGCGTCCATCGAGTCTCTCTCGCCCCTCGAGATTCGCCCACGACTGACCCACCACTCACCCCCACCCTGGTCGATGGCTGCTGGACTGGTCGAGCCCTGTGCGGATGAACTGGCGGACTCCTCTCGCTCAGATGGCGGCCAGACTCAGACCATCGAACCCACCAGTCCCAACCATCCATCTCCTCACCACCCTGCTCACCAACTCAAGCCAAGCCAGAAACGATCCAGTACGGGCTTGGGGAAACTGTTCAAATCAGTCATCAAGTCATCACTCCGGTCCATCCCAGGAACCGGTAGTCATCTTGATCTATCCTCCAGTCATACCACATCCACCGATACAATCCATCATCATCATCATCAGGGCAACCAGCAGGGGTGGCCGTCTTCAGGCCAGGCCAAATTCAACTCGCTCAAGTCGGTTGATGTTGACTGTAGAACTGCCCTGGCCGATGAGCAATCCGACCCCTTAGACATCACCTTGATCACCCACCACCACGAGGAATCAAATAAGCCTCTATCACCCCGCAGCCAGAGCTCCTGCTCAAATTCCACCATCGACAGTATAACCACCTCCACCTCCCATTCGGCCTCAATCACCCCGAGCTCGAGTTTGTCCAGTCTTCCGGCTATTGGCTCTGATTGTCGAAACACAAAGATACCTGGCTGGCGGCAACATGATCTAAACGGGCATGGCAGTACTGATCCAAACGAACCACTTCCTCCACTGATTAACACACCTGACACCGCTCAACACCACAGGTCAGTGGCCATCTCATCTTATCTTATTCTTGTTTGGCAGTTTCCCACGTCGCATGTGCTGAGATTCATTGAACCTCATCCAGTTCTTCCAACAGCAACTCCCCCAACATGTCTACTCAAACCGCCTACAATCACTCTCCACCACCTGCCAATTGTTTTGGAAACTCCTATTCCTCTAACAATCTCCATGGCAGGCGTGATCACCCCAAGTTGAAGCTCAAAGCCAGTTTCGGCTTCCTTCATAATCTCAAGCGTGCCGTCGGAGGGGTCGACCATTCACTCTCATTTTCCTTCCACAACAACTCCTCCACTTTCCTTACCACCAATACCATCAGCCTTCCCTTCGGCACTGTGCTCAGGAACAACGGCTTGGACCCGTTACCGCACTGCCACCCTCTGCCACTCAAGCCAAGCCAGTCCAGTCCTTCGAGCCTCAACTACCCCTCCTCCTTGCCCCCTCGACTCCAGCAGGCCGAGCACTTCCTTCAGCCCGGACAACGCCTCGCTTCATCCGCATCCAACCCGGATTTCTTCGATGAGCAGCAGTACGACCGTTCGCCGGCGCCCGACCAAAACTTCTCCATCCCTCCTCCGAATGAAGCCCATCATCGCAGAACAGATGAAGACTCCCCACACCCTCTCTCCCGTCATCACAGAGAGATTGACAACACCCTCCATCCGCCCAAGTCGCCATCGATTGTGCCCGACGATGCGCCAACGTTGAACTTGAGACCCGTCTCGATACCCTTTGCAGCCGGCTTCTCCGACCGATTACTGCTCGCTGATCTCAACGCCGTCGAGCCTTCAGCCGAGACTCGAAAGGTGCTCAATGGACGGAAGAAGCAACGACAAGGCTCCGATCATCAGGACCATTGCTCCTGCTGTAGCTCTCTGGCTTCCGAGAACGAGGCCTTGAAAAATCGGATCAGGGAGTTGGAATTGCACATCTATAGAAGTCACACTTCCAAATCAAAGCCTGCTCAGGAGTAACTGGTATGTGTTCAGCACTAATGCCCTTCATTGCTTCAACTATATCCTGACCAATACTTGGTTTATCTCGGATAGATTGATTGCCAGGTCAAATCTCCGATGATTATTGTCGCCCGACTCCATAAAACAACTATGAATAAAAAAACCTAAGATATACCAGAAGAAAAAAAAAACTAAACTGAATTGTGGACCGTCAATCCACTCGATTTTTCTATCGAGCGTCTTCTCCTACCAACAAAAAGAAAGAAAACCCAAACAAACAAACAATAACAGTCCAAAAACACATTAGTCGATCTCCACGTCGTGTTGATTTTATCTTATTTTTATGCTTGGTTCTGATCACTACCAAAAAAAAAAAATCTATGCCCAGACATCTTTTTTTTCTGTTCGATTCTTGCTTAACAGGCCCCCCTCCCCCTAATTATTCTATCTCTTGCGTATCTGGACCTCCATCTTGTTTCTTTCTTTCTTCTTCACTTCTTTCTCTCTCTTGACCATCATCATCATTATCATTATTATCCCCACTCTCACTCTGACCATTCCAACACTCATCATTATCATCAGCCCTTCTCAATCTGCCTTTTCTTGTTCAATACTCCCCAGAATGATCGCTCCCCTTGTACAAATATAATTGGTTAAGATTCCCGAAGATGTAAAAACTGTACAAAAAAACAACTTTTTTTCTTTTTTTCCTCATTCCTGTTGCTCATTCATCACCATCATTGGAATGAGGCATTGTTGGCATGCATACTGGGACTTGTTGAGAGAGAGAGAGAGGTAGGCGTAACGCGAGAATACATGTGGGTTGCTCTCAATCGAGACCGCTGTTCTATGAGTTTGGTTTTTGGTACGGGGGACAGGTGAACCTGAGTTTCTAAGCTTGATTATCATTACTGGAGTTTCTACGCTTGACTATCATTACTGGGGTATAGAAAACGTTGAGTCCATCTGTAGGAGAGAGGGTGTGATCGATCTAGTTGGAGTTCTTACTTTGTGTTGTGTGTTCGCGGAGTGGAGCTCAGACAGCGCCAAGTTCCTCCAGGCCAAGTTTCCCAGTTGAACTCCTTCAACTTGACGTCATCTGCCCCTTCAGTTTGAGTTGGACTACCAGGATGCCACCCTCACGGTTTGCCCAGAAAGAACATCTATCGTATCGGAACCTACTAGCGATCCCTGCCAAGGTAAGGATTTCCTCCTATCCCTTTATTTATCGATCCACGAAGCTCTTTTCTGTCGAGTTCCTCGGGGTAATAATAACACATGATATCTCTCTTCTTGGGTCTTCGCGGTTGTAGAAAGAAGTCCAATTCTCGGAGATACCGGTCCTGACCAACGGCACTGACTCGGAAGACTTGATCGCTGCAACCTCGCAATACTGGATCACCAAACACACCAACCAGGGTATAGCTTCTTTCACTTTTCGTTTGTGAATTTCTATTCCGACTCAACAGGCCCTTTTGAATTTGAATCTTGCACAGGTCACTTAACATTTGCACCGTACCACAAGCCGGGCAAACTTGCTAACAAAACCGCTTCGCTGTCGGCTTGTTCCGGATCGATCTCTGATTTCACCACCTGTCCCTTCGATCAGTTACTTGCGGTTGCAAACGAAGCTGGTGAAGTAACGTCGCATTTGAATTTATTCTTCTATTCTATTCCGAGGCATGCGTATATGTTGCTTATCATCTTGATCTCCCAACAGACATCGATCTTCTCCCTTCCAGAAACTCTCAATCCACCTGGAGACACGCAGGCCTTTAACTGCATTAGGAAGCTTCATGGCGAATCCAAGAACTCTCCCGTTGATAAATTGGCCTTCCACTCGACTACTCGCGGCATTCTAGCTGGCAGTATTGGAACTCAACTCGCGATTTGGGATGCGGAACATCTCAGCGAAGGATCCCCCTCGATCAACCTTGCCAGCGGGGCCAAGGTTTGGGATATCAAGTGGGGCTGGGATGGTCGACTGTTAGGTGCAACCACTCGGACGGGAATCTTGCAGTTATGGGACCCCCGTGCCTCGACCATGGTTTCCAGCTGTGACAATCAGGACGGATCAGGTGGGAGGAAATGTAGCCGACTTGCTTGGGTTGGTGATCACATCTTGACCACCAGTGTTAACAAAGTTGAGTAGAGCTCTGGATTGGTTTTACTTTCAAGTCAAAGCTGGTGATAAGATCTGAATCGATATACTCGCAATATAAAACTTCTGGACCTACCCAAAAAAAAAACTCTTCGATTAGCTACGCGATCGGCAATATTCAATTTTTGATCCAAGGTCCTTAAATTCACCCGTCAAGACTGAACGAATCGACAATTCGAATGGGACATTGATACCCATAGTTGATCCCAACCGGTCGATATTATATCTCGCTACCAGAGGAGAGTCGACGTTCAAATGGTACAAGCTTAACCTTTCCAGCACGTTGACCGTCGAGGCTTTCAATTCAATGCTGCCGATGTCTCCAATAGCTGGTATAGCCATGGCACCGATCAATCATCAAACCGTGGATGTGATGAGGACGGAGCTTTGCAAATTTATGATATTGACCAAAAGTGCCGAAGTTATCCCACTCACCATACAGGCGCCTAAAAGACAGTATCTCGACTTCCATGCTGACGTCATGCCTTCAGTGCGAAGTATGGGTAGGTCAACTGACCCGCTTGAATGGAATTGAAAAAAAAATCGCATTCACTCATACTTTTGTTCTATCCTCGAACATTGATTCTTAGAGCCGGCGCAAGCTGGTCAGGATTGGCTTAAAGGGAATGATCAAACTGTTGCGCTAGTTTCGCAAGACCCATCAGCCCCTGGTAGTATCAAATCCTCCATCAAGTCAACACCAATTTCGACGGCATTGCAACCGACTCCAGCGTCTGGTATTGTTCAATCTTCGATCAAGTCAGCGCCAGCTACAGCCACAATGCATCAAGAGTCGCCACAGGCTCCAGGCTCCCCTAAGAACCAACTACCGGCCACGGGACCGGCCTCTTATGGCGTGAAAAAATCATTTGACGCGAAACCTAGTGATCCTGCCCCGTCTCAATCAGTGGTAAAACCGATCTCCAGTATGTCTTAAACAACGAATCTTGACATTATCCGTAATATACACTCATGTATCTTCTCATCCCATCATGAACAGAAAAGGGTGTTGTTAATAAACCAGTACGATGGTCCCGGAAATACGTAAATGGACAAACCTCAATGCAAGCAGAATACGAAGATCTGCACAATCTATCGGCCACTTTTCCGGCTGATAGAGAGATGATCAAATGCACATCCAGCTTCTTTTTGGTGCCAATCGGTGGACCTGGCGGAAGGCTCGGGGTGCATCGCTTGACAAACAAGGGCAGATTGCCTACTCGGCTCCCATGTTTGATCAATGAGGCAAACATCGTGGCTTTCGAAGTCGACCAATTGGTTCAAGGTCGGGTCTTTGTTGCTGGAGAGGATGGCAAGGTTCGAGTCTTTCGCGTCCCCGAACAGGGCCTCGAGGAAGATTCCCTGAACGCTGAGTTGATCTTATCCGGTAAGATCCCGCATTTTCACATTTGAAGTGCCAAAGAAAGGGGGATGGAAAATGACCGATGAATCTTCCATTTCAGCTTCGAGCATGGACCGGATTAGCTTGATCAAGCCACATCCTACCGCCAAAGATATTTTGTTGACTATCTCGGATGACATGAACAAGCCTTGCGTCCGTCTTTGGTATGTTGGTCAAGTTGGAGACACCGCGAGCGGGCCATCGAGGGAGATACACCTTCCATCGGGTGCGATCTCCTCGGCATCTTGGTCTCTGGATGGCTCTCTTCTAGCGATTGCCAACAAAGCCAAGACACTGTATGTCTTGGATCCTCGTCGAGGAGATGATACACATTGGTGCCAGGGGTCGACTCATGGGAGTTCACGGCCAGTACAGGTTACTTGGACCGATGACCGATCCCATCTCCTCACCACTGGCTTTTCATCGACGGGGATGCGTGAAGTGAAGCTCTACCAAGTCAACCAGGAACAACATGCAATAGAATCATTGGCTGCGATCTCCTTCGATAACTCGCCGGCCGGGTTTTTCATCCACTATGACCCAGACACATCCATTGGATATTGCTGGAGCAAGGGGGAAAGGACGACCTACCTCATCGAACTGATTGAGACACCGAACCCGAACGCAAACCCGGGCCAGTCAACGTTTAAATTCGATCGTTTAACACCATTTGTTCATTCGACGATCCAGTTAGGATATTCTTTCTTCATCAAGCAGGTCTTAGATGTCAAGGCGGTCGAGGTCGGCAGAGCGTTAAGACTCACTGGCAATCAAGTCGAAGTCGTCAGCTTCAAAATCCCCAGGAATCGGGCCGAGTTCTTTCAAGATGATATCTTCTGCGACACTAGAGATCTCTTGACGCCTGCATTCCAGAACGGCCAAGATTGGCTGGATCTTCTCGGTCAGAATGATCCGCAGGAGGATCGTCAAGAGAAGGACTTGATTGAGGGCTTTTCGAGGGTCAGTTTACAACCAGTTGGGATGTCGAGGTTGAGTGAAGCCCCTCTAACTAAGGTCCAATCTAATCAAAAAGCACTCGTAAGTCACTACAAAACCTTCTTCTCTTTTTTTTTTTTTGATTGACTCTAACCAGAACTAATACAACATCTATGAATTGTGTAAAGATTGCTCAAGGACCTCAACTGACGGACTCGCAAAAGGCGGACCAATATCTCGACAAGCTGTTCCAATCAGCCAAACGAGACGACCATCATCAGCTCTCCGGATCCAGTACTAGTCAATCAAAGCTTGCAAAGCCGGACAAAGACGACGACGACGACGATGAGGAGGAGGAAGTTGTCGGCAGGAGTCGGGTGGGCGCTCCGGTTGATGATGATTGGTGAACATTCATCATGATTGTGACTTTGGGCTTCCATTTTCACAGTCCTTCTAATCAGAAAGTGGGACAGTTGTATTGCTTTTAATCCTCCTGCATCCATTTGTTTTTTTTTTGGTGGGAGTCAACTTGAATGAGCTCGCAAAACAACCCCCCCCCCCCAAAAAAAAAGAAAAAAATCTGCATAACAAAAAGCCCTGGACATATTTAACGTACATGCTTCCGCTCGATTATGTATATGTATTTCCACTATGCAGTTCCATCCTCAATCATTTTGTAATTAAGCTTGGCTAAGTACTCATCACTTTTCTCCTCAATTCCATTCTTAGCAATTATGTAGACTACATACTCTTCAGTAAAAGGGCTGTGGGATTTAACGCGGTTCATATTGCAAGTACCTTTAACTGTCATATTTGGGGTATACTGACACATTTGCATCAGGGAGCTTTGTATAGTCATTCTCAGGGTGGTTCTGTGTAAAAGCTCTTACATATTAGGCATTCAGAAACCACTGAAAAATCTTAACATCTGTGTAATAAAATATTTAATCAAGTTGCCTTAATGTGACCCTTCCCTTATAAGTGGACAAATAAACATTGCTGTTTATTTGTGGATCTGGATGGAGTACTTGAAATGGACACTTTTAATTATTAAGGTGCAGATTGTGCATCTATCTCTCAGACTCAACCAGTTCCAGAGCTATGTACATGATGGTGTTGAGTGAGTTTCATTCTCCTGATTGTCCAAACTTTTTCCTTGAAGTTGAGCAGGAGTTTCCTTGGATATTCTGAGTTTGGAGTGTCCACAGTCGGTCTACATGTGTGTCCAGCGCCCTCAACTGAGTCTTCAACTTTTCCTTCTCTCCTTCTTCTGTCTCCATCCAGAACCATCCTCACCAAAACCAAAACCAACTCAGCAAACTCAACCAAAAAAAAATGTCAAACGCAAACAGTTCGACTAATGGCGGATACAACTACTACCAACCAACTGATATCCAAGCATACCACCAATCCAACAACTACAACAACATCGGATCATCAGCAACCGCATACTACGACCCAGCAGCCATAGCCATCGCCAATGCCACCGGGATCAACCCTCATCACCCAGGATCCACTGGAGCGTTCAACAACAACAACCATCATCACGGTAAATCACTCGACCCCAACTTCGATGCCAACGTCGCCGCCCAACAGTCCATCTATACTCCCGATGCCACTGCCATCCATCATCAACAACTCCAAAACCAACACCAGCAACAACAGCAACAGCAGCAACAGCAACTTCAACAGATGATGCCTCAACAAGCTATCTCAAAACTTAATAAAGGAAAAGCTAGACCAACAGTCATTCGGAAGGCCGGCGGTGAAGTTTGGGAAGACCAAACTCTAATGGAATGGGATCCAGGTACTGTTTTTTTGATTCTTTCTCTCCTCAACAGACTCGAGTAGATTCAAGAAGACTGATCAATAACAAACCGATAGCCCATTTCCGATTATTCGTAGGAGATCTAGCGCCAGAAGTGTCAGATGATGGCTTAGCAGCGGCGTTTTCGAAGTGGAGTTCGTTTGTGAAGGCGCGGGTGGTGCGGGACAAAGTGACGACGAAATCGAAGGGGTATGGGTTTGTGTCGTACAAGGATCCGGAGGACTTCATGAAGGCCTGGAAGGAGATGAACGGCAAGTATGTCGGCAGTCGGCCGATCAAGATCTCCAAGGCCACCACTAAGGTCGGCGTCGTCCAGATCGGTAATAAAAAGGCTAGATCCCTCGACGATCATCGTAAGAAGAAACTCATCCAAGGCGTCGAACGCTTGCGCACTGGCGCTGGCGCCGTTTGGAAGAACGATAATCGGCCTTATGCTCGTAGATAAATTCTACCCCCTCTCCCCTCTTGTTTTTCGTTTTTACTTTTGGCTCTCTCTTTGTACCTCTTTTTTTCTTCGTTGGCGGTATTCATGTACTTGAAAAATCATCTCACATCCCTCATCATCAGAGATCATCTATCATTCTCTCATTAGAATTGGTTGGAAAAAATAAGCGCTTTTCACATGATGTAATGTCGAGCAACAAAGCTCTCGATTTCTCAAAATTATATCTCCTCACTAAACAGGAGCCCCGTGCAGTGGTGGGGACATCGAAGCTGCTCTCCTTCTGCTCATAGAAGTATGACATGGAGAAGAAATGACAGTGTCCATGAGGACTTATACCATGCCAAGCAGTCCAACACGGAGCGACAAGAAACTGCAAGTTTTTTCAGACATATATGTGGCAAGAGGTGAGTGTGTGTGTGTTTGGTTACAATGTGAGACAGAAGGTTGCGATTATAATGGGACGATCGTTGTAGGGACGTATTTCCTGTTTAGTGAGCAGTCACAGAATGATTGTATTGGTTACGAGTTTGATTGAGGAAGGAAAGAACATGGAAGGAAATGTGACCATCAGTAAACACCAACCCAAACCAGGAGCCTGTTAATAAATAGACGAAGCAAGAGGGGGAGAGGAAGACTGAACTTGGTATTGTAGACGCTTTGGCCAACGACCCAAGTGGGGTCGTCCTTCATGATCTCTCGTTCCCGGTCGATCCGCGCTCGTTCTCGTCGGAACAGGTCCCGATCATTCTCGGCTGTCAAGATCGGCACCAGATGGATCCGCGACCACATGTTCTCTCTCTTCAATTCTCTGCAATACAATCAATTGTTTTTTTTGATTAGTTTTTCAATCCAGCAGAGGGACAGACAGACCCAGCAAAGCCCCCAGAAAGACAGATCGATAAGCGGTTGCGGGCCAGACTTTCAGAGAGCTCACCGTTTCTCCACATTCCCTTGTCCGTATCGATAGAATCCATACAAGCAGGTCACGAACACCCCGCCAATGATCAGACTACCTGAGGGCCCTCTGATCGGCAAGTTCCTCTTGAACTTGACCGGCTCATACCCCCCTTTCATCACAATAAGAACATCATTCTCCCTGCCGGTCAGATTCCAAAGTCCCGAGGGTTTTTTTTTTCTTCAGACAATTTGTTGAGTCACTTACCAACTGGCGGCAATTCTCTATAAATAACAACAACAATCCGCCCCAAAAAAAACAGCAGATATGTGGAATTAGTGCATACATCTCAGCCATAAGAAGAAAAAAGAAGTCCTAGTCGCTTAACTGTTTATATGGGATCGACATTCTTGAAGAATCCGGACAGACCGAGTGTTGGTTGTTTCCGAGCCGTAGACGAGGATGGAATTGCTTGAGTTTTGGTTGGTCTCTGAAGATTGGCTGTTTTGAGTTGGGGGTGGTAGTTTCGCACCTGCGAACGGGGCTGTCTCCCGTCTCGCACCCGTCCCAGCCTCCC